AGGGGGACTCCTCTGGTAGTCAGGTTAATATGTCATGATCGTTGAGTATCAAGTTCAAGCCTTGATTTATGAATGAGCACAGAGGCTCGATTTTACAAAGATCTGTTTGCTCAGCATTGGCAGAATCAATTTTGCGAAGACTGAGACGGACAAAAGTCAAGCCTGAAAACGTGACACTCGCACCCTCTTTCTTTTCTTGTGTCGGCGGGCGCCAGCGTGAAGAGATCAAATCAATGACGTTCTGGGACGAAAAGTTGTGTAAACTGTTTCTGGATAGTGAAAGCTCTTCGAGTGCTGGACACACATTGCTGGCAGTGTCCTCCGAGTCCAAAGGCCGGAGTGTAAGGAGCGATAAGGTCTGCGGGGAGATCCAATCCGCGATTATGTCCAGCGTTTTTAGAGCAGGTGTGCATTGAAGCAGGCGTCGCAAATCCTCGTCAAAAATAGGATCCTGGGTCCCGGGCCCGACTTGAGTCCAATGCAGGCACAGGACCTTCAGTGTCTTCAGGATCTTGCCTCGAGTCCAACGCCGGCGTTGGTAGACATCTTCCGGGTCTCCAAGGAACGTAAGGATGATCTCTTCCAATGATGGGATTTCCGCGTCCGCGAGTAGGGACTCGGCAAACTCAGCATCCCTGGTAGTCAAAACCAGGTCCAGCCTACGCAAATGAAACAAAACAAGACGCGGAGGCTCGATGAAGATCTCTGTGCAGCGTAAAAGGGGAGTGTAGTGGAGAAACGAAAAGGGATTTGATGCTGGCGTAGCAGGGTTTTGAGGTTAAGCGGTAACGTTCCAATAGGTCAAGGTCCGCAATGAATCGAGGACGTTTGCTGGCACTTGCCCCCGTAGAAGTACATGACCGTCCACTTGCAATTCCCGCAACGAGGTGAAGCCTGACAGATCGACCGTGATGGTTTTGTTCAGAGGCGCTGGCTCGAGAGTTTCGTTGTATATCTTGCAAGTAATCTTCAAAATACTGAGTTCTGGTGCTGCGCTAGTAAGAAGGTACGCCTTTCCTTCGGGTAGTTCAATCCCGTCGCAAATTAAATACAGGCGTTGAAATCGATGCTGTTCTTTAAAGATTGAGTCGAGCAGATGTTTCCGAAGTTCAGGTGCGTCATATTCAAATAGAAATAGAGAAACGTCGAGAAGAGCTTGTCTTGATCTCAAGAGGTATAGGTCCCATAGCGCAGCAAACCGCTCGTGAGGGTCGGTCCAATTCCTTGTATCGCCTCCGTACCACCAACACGATCCCCAGATCATCAAAGACCAGAGCGTCGATTGCGTAAGTGCGAGTGATCGCCAGGACCTGCAGACTTGCGAGTATACAAGCGCAGGCGCTACCGTCATCCGAGTGTCGGGTATGAAGGTCGCGGGGATCGAGCATCCATGTTCGAATATCTCCCGCAAGACGTCCGGGATCAGAGATGATATTGACGCTGCGCCCAACCTCGTCTTCCTAAAACCTGATTCGACGTGTTCTAGGGATGTGATTGTATGATTTGTATCGTTCATGATGGATGAGAGAACTTGAATGAAGTTGCTCGTGTTCGCTCACCATGGCTTTCTTTGTATATATCACACCGTGACAGGCCACACGACAGAGTTTGCATTGGCAAATTTGCTTGATGATGCGAATGAGCTTCGAATCCTATGATACGTCGATAAACTGTGCATTTTTCAACTTCTATACTTTGAAAAATTGCAACTTACGAGAGATTTGAGGAAAAGCACGAGATATCTCGATTCTGGGCACAACTTGAAGGCGTGACGGTTAACGTTGAGTTTGGAAATTGAGCATTCCAAATCGACCGTCAAATTTCGTAGATACTTACTCGCGATGCGCTTTACTCTGAAAGAGATCCGACATCATGTGTCGGTTGGGTGGTTGGCTCACTCAGTCACTGGGCCGCTGTGCGAGTGGTCGTCGTTCTCAACCAGCCGCTGCCAACGGGTGGGCGGAAAACGGAAAACGTGTCGTTGAACGGCAACTTCCGTGCGGCGCTAAAGTTTGCCGCCCAAGCACATGAAAATGTCGAAAAAATACTACTAAAATCAAATCCGAAGTAGGACAAACGGATCTATTTACTGCTCGTGGTCGTCTCCCTTGAAGCTTCTAAATCGACACCCATGGTAATATGGCTGCACCTTCTCAAGAAATTTCAGGTTACTACTGCGCATGGTATTCATTGAAGTGGCCTGAGTGGAGTTTTTACTGTACAATATTGTTGATGATATGGAGGAGGGTCGTTTATTTCCTCATAGTTTATGAGGGCATGTAGCAGCGTTTGGTCACATTCAATTGATTTATATTGCTGGCCAATGGGGATTTCGAGGACGAAAGCCCGACGTAGTCGTAGGCACCCAACGAGACGACAAATATTTAGCACATCGACCAATCGACTCGACGGTTTCTTTCTACAATCATTATTTCAGTTAATAAGAAGTTGTCATCTAGGAGTACCTTGCGGCCCGAGAACCTCTTCGGTGAGTAAACTCTACTCGAAGCGTATCGCCAGTTACTGTTGACTAGTTGACTCTCATCAAGATTTAAATTTACGAAGAAAATCCAACCAGATTATGCGCGCTCAAGAGAGATGGATATATCCAACAAACAAAAATTACAACTACGTAATTTGCAGCTTCAGACCTTGCTGTATGAACGAGCACACAGGCTCGACAGTAGGGAGATCTGCCAGCCGAGGCCGCCTAATGCCAGCACTGGCATCACGCGGGAAAACAGAGAGACGGACATCAGTCAGCCCTGAAGATGAGGTGGCACCTTCGATATCTGTTTTTTCTTGTGGCGGGCGCCAACGCGAAGAGATTAAATCAATGACATCCTGGGACAAGAAGTTGCGTTCATCATGGGTTTCGAGGACAAGTTTCTCCAGTGCCGGGCATACATTGCTGGCAACGTCCTCCCGAGGCCGGAGGGTAAGAAGTAATAAGGTCTGTGGGGTGACCCTGGGTGAATCTATATTCAGAGATTTCAAAGCGGGAGTGCATTCAAGAAGGTGTTGCAAGTCCTCGTCAAAAAAGGTATCATGAGTCCCATCACGAGATCCAAGCCAGTGTAGTGATAGAACCTTAAGTGTCTTCAGAATCTTGCCTTGAGTCCAACGCCGGCGTTGGTATCCGTGAGTGTCAGCGAAGAAGGAAAGGACCATCTCTTCCAATGCTGGTATTTCCGAGTCCGCAAGCAGGAACTCGGCAAATTCAGCATCTCTGGGATCCAACCCCAGGTGCAGTTCACGCAAATGGCACAAAGCAAGACGCGGAGACTCGCCGAAGACCTCTGTGCGACGTATATGAGGAGTAAAGTGGATAAATGAAAAGGGATTCGATGCTGGCGTCGCAAGGTTTTGAGGTGAAGCAGTCATGTTAAAATAGCCTAAGGTCCGCAATGACTCAAGGACGTTCGCTGGCATTTGACCCCGTAGAAGTACATTGCCGCATACATCCAATTCCCGCAACGAGGTGAAGCCTGACAGATCGACTGTGATGACTTTCTTGGTAGGCATTGTCCCGTTATATTTGTCGGCGAATACACACATCTTCAAAAATCCGAGTCTCGGCGCTGCACTGAGAAGGTAGGGTGTCCTTTCGGGTAATATGTCTTCGTCGCAGTTTACTTCCAGGTGATGTATTCGATGTTGTTCTTTGAAGATTGAATCGAGGAGATGTTCCCGAAGCTCAGGCGCGTCATATTCGTATAGATATAGAGAGATGCCGAGAAGAGCTTGCCTTGATCTCGAGAGGTACAGGTCCCATAACAGAGCAAGCCGCTCGTCAGAGTCGGTGCGGTCGTACATTGTATCGTCCCCATACCGCCGCCGCGGACTCAATCCCCAAGACACTGAAGACCAGAGAGTCGATTGCGAAAGTGCAAGGGACCGCCACGACCTGCAGACCTGGGAGTATACGAGTGCAGGTGCCTCCGTCATCTCGGGTATGAAGGACGCGGGAGTCGAACATCCATGTTCCAATATCTCCCGCAGGATGTCCGGGATCAGAGATGATATTGACGCGGTGTATGCTTTCGCCTTTTCCAGGTCGGATTCTATGTCTTTCGGAAGTGCAACACTAGTATCGTCCATGAGTGATGACAGAAGGATGCAAGCACTCGTTGGTTTTTGCTCTGACTTATAGTTTTGACTCACCTCAACTTTGTTTATAGAGCTATCGCGTCACCGGGCCGCACGGCAGAGATTGCATAGGCAAGTTTGCTTGACGGTGGAAGTGAGCTTCGTGCTATATGATATGTAGATTGACTATGAAGTTTGTAAGTTCAATGCTTTACATGATCACAACCTACGAGAGATTTGACGGAAATCACGTCTCCAGGATCGCGCAAATTCCCGACGTCCTAGTCGACGAACGCCATCCGAGCAAATACGGAACGTAAGATGCAACATCCAACGATGGTATCGCCAAGTTTGGTTTTCAAGGGGTCGGTCCCGATACCAACCGTATTTATCGTCGTCAAGTCTGCAATATGTGTCCCAGTATTACTCAAAATCGAAATGATTTCGAAAGACAAACGCACCTGATTGCATTATTTTGGTGCAGTACGGAGATCGTGCATCTTGAAGATTGAACTCGGGTTCTCCGAGATAGTCTTCACGAGTCCACAAATAACAGCCTTTACGTTAGTACAAGATGCGCAAAGAGGGACTCACCTTCAACTTCAATGAAACCTTCGAATTTTCGAAAAACGTCCGCGCACAGGACACGAGCTTAGAGTGTGATCAGCTAAGAGATCGTTGAGTACGCAGCTCTTGCCTCCTCTTCAAGACAGTCCTTGATGCTGAAGACATCGGAGATTGTGATAAGTGACGACGAAGAGGACAAGGGCTTGCCCATGGCTGATTCGACGACGGTGTTCGAGTTGAGTTGGGTTGGTTGGGTTTCAAGTTGGCGACTCAGGGAAAACTGCCGGGGCTTGATAAACTAAACTTTAGTAGCTATATACTATACAAGAAAAGGGTCTAACATGTGCCCTGTGGCTTAGTTGGCTAAAGCGTGTGACTGTTACGGTTCATTGGAATACGAGCACATCACAAGATCGAGAGTTCGACCCTCTCCGGGGCAGCTAATTTTTTGCCCTTTTTTTGCCTCTCCTTTTCTCGAGCTACAATCTGCAAGCTGCGACACCCAACTTATTCTTCCAACACCCAAAACATGGAAATGGAAGCATATGTTCGCTATGTTTTGATGGGTTACCAAACGAGACCGTGTACACACATGCGATACAGAAGAGTTCTCGCAGAAATGGATTGAGTTCATGCAAACAGTAGACGAAGACAGCATGGTAGCAAAATGAAGGTGATACGATCTCGAGAAGATTTTTGATGATACACAAATGCCAGTCATGTATAAAGATTAGTTCAACTCTTCGAGTTCGCCTTTTTGCTCTTCCACCTCGAAGTTCTCTACCAAGTCTGGGACGTCGTCATCGTCATCATCTCCGCCTGCGCTAGCACCTGGCGCCTTCTGCTGCTGGATGTTTTGGTAGGATTCGGCGAGCTTCCTGAGTGAGGTCAGGGAATCAGGGCCGAGCTGGTTGAGGATGCCCGGTACGAGCTCAGTGAGATCCTTGACGGCGCCTGTACCGTAGATCGCGAAGGTGTTCGCTGATACGGCAGCATGGACTGTGGATGAATTGATGTAGTCAGTACAAGGCAAGATGGGGTGTGCGCATGGGGTCGCCGACAACCAGGTTTGGCCGATGATGGTTCACCCAAATACGCAAGACGAAAACCGCACCTTTGGGTGTTGTGAAGTGCAACACGTTTCCATCCTCCCTGAACATGTTAACCTCCTCGACGCTCGGGATCGGCTGCACGTTCAGCTTCTTGAGCGCTCCCTGCAGTTTCTTGTCATCCTGTGCAGTCGACGCCCTGCTCTTTGGCACGACCTTCCGGCGCGGTGTCCCCTTACCACCTGAACCGGGGAGATGTTGCGTAACCCATTTTCGATGCGAGTTTCAACGTCGTTGTCCAGCGATTATCGGTAAATTTGGTAGAAAACGAGTGGTTGGGGCGTTGACAATCCGCGCGACGATCGTTCGAGAGATGAGAGGGCAATAATTTTGTGCGAAGTCAGTCGTCTTGGGAGGGCAAGACATTGCTTGCACTGCGAAGACTTTTGGATGAAACTCACCGATCCGGTTCGCCGTCGCGGCGGCCTGCATCTTCGCGAGCTTTTGCTGATCCAACGTCATGTTTTGGAACGGGAGGAGTTCGTCGTCGTTGGCGGCGTCGACGACGAGCGGGACATGGCCTCAAACTCTCTGGCAGCGTGCGAAATACATTTAAGGTTCAAAATCAAGGGTCGTGGGAACAGCGGATGAGAGATAAATTCGATTTTCTCTGTTTTTCCCGTTCTCTCAACGTTCTCGATTTTCCACGTCTATCGCTACATGTATGTATACAAATATTATTTCGTGTATATCAAATGAAATGGTGACTGGTGCATCGATATACCGGGTTCCATGTGCCAATCGACCAATACTACTAGTAGTTGTTTTCGTCGTCCGGCCATTCTTTCTCACCGCACGAACTCCAGCACACGTCTTCAATCTGTTAATCGAAGAAAGTCAGTCGGAAGCGTATCACATAGGGCTCAGCAATCTAGAGGTGAGAGAATATCATTGCAAGGAGATTCGTGGAAGATTTACGAACTAATCTGACGAGTGGGATGACCAGGTTCGGGGAAGCCATCGAGGCACAATGCACCCAAGTCGTTGGCGAAGCATACCATCGGAGCGTGAGGGGACTTTCTCCATCTGTGAAGTAAGAAGTAAGCAAGCGTGTTCCTTAGGATTCTGTGAGCATATGTTAGTTAAACTATGGATCTTACAGTCACTTTCATAGTCCTCCACCCGGTTATACCGAAGTGAAAGCTGTAGACCTGACCAAAAAGTCCCCATGGAAGTGAGTATTCGCGCATAACTTGATGAGCGCCGACTTTCGGACGCTCAAGACCGAAAATTCACGCCATTGTTCTGCATTCGAAAACATGTTCCCATTTGAAGAGCGCGACACCCTAGATGATTTACAAAGTTTGTTGATTTCAAGAGAAGTCTATACTCCGTCATACGAAGCGCCTCCGGCCTGGAAAGAGCGAGAGTTTAGATCGATCTTTCGACATATCATCCGAACATACCTTTCGTAACTTGATTACAAGGGCCTCTTCGTCGATCTCGGCCTTATCCTCAGCAGCATGCTCGAGAGAGAACGAAGTCAGAACGTTCTTGACGTCTGCAGCTTGTACGGAAACCTATGTGATTCAGGTTCAATACGAACGTGTAAGTGACATGACTGTGGACGATGTGATGGACACGCACCTTTCCTCTCCGCAATCCCTTGCAGCCTTTCCCGATCCACTTAATGAACACGAACTTCTCGCGCTGCGATTCCTTGTCGTTCGAATACTGAATTCGCGCGTACGCGTACGAAGCGTTGCTGTCCTGCAGCGCGTCCTTCAACTCGGCGAGGCCGCCCGTGCCCGTCGAAGTGACAGAGAGTTTGTCCGTACGACCCTACCGACCGCAGCGTTTGAGAATGAGTTAGAGATATCTTGCAACATAGATCGCAGACGTACTACATAGTCGAGGAGAAGCCAATTCGTATCGGACTTGTTCGAACGAACATCCTCGTATGCTGGGCGCTGATGAGTTATGCGATGATGGCGAACGAGTTTATCTTCCACCTTCAGTTATCTTTTCGTCGGACACGTCTGCCATTACCACCAGCGAAGAGAAAAGATGTCTAAGAAAGAGAAAACGAGATTCAAGCGGGTAAAGATCGTGGAAGGAGACGAAGGTGATTGACGTCCACGAACGACGCGACGACGGCAACCGGCAGCAACCTGTCCATGGCCATGGCCACGGCGGCGGCTATCACCTTCAACTTGAACTCGAACCGCCAGCATCGCCGCAAAAAGTTATCGCAGCATGTGTCATTGCACATCGACGTTCATGCTTTGGTACTTTGCACTCCAGAGCTCACAAGCATGCTAGCGGATTCATTTTCTAGTCTAATGAAACTCAATACTCAGAGCAAAGTCGCCAGTGCCGACGCAAAATCTTGCCATCGAAAAGCAACATTCATCAAGCTCTTAAAAGTCGCACTGCACACTGCCAGACTCTCTTGCCTCGTATCAATCTTCTATGGACATCGCCTTCAAGATTGACACGGAACTGCAGAAAGATGAAATGTCCGGTTCGAACTTGAAGAACGCGTCCATATCGTCTCTGAACTTGGACGCTCTACTAGAGATATTCGAACACGGATGCTCTGAGCCTGCGTCCATAGCACCCGAGAAGACAGTAATTGTCGCGCCCGCTCTCACTTATTCGCAAGTCTGTCGTTCCTGGCGATCACTCGTAACTGCACAATCAACTCTCTGGTCAACAATCTCGTGGGGCACATACAGCGAGGAGCTAGTATTGCCAGTGCGCCTCCAGGAAACCGAGGGAAGCGCAGTGGCTGACGAGCGCTTTGTTGCATTGTGGGATTTATATCTATCAAGGTCCGGAGATGCTCTACTCGACGCCACAGTCTACTTCTTCCTGAAAAAACACTGCACACGTGAAACTCGGCAACATATTCTCGAGTCTATCTTCAAGGAACAACACCGACTAAAGTACCTTAAGATATCCTGTGACTACAGTGCATTGCCTGAAGAAAAGACTTACTATCTGACTATGGCACCCAGGCTAGAGATCCTGGAAATCAATGTATGCTTGTTACCCTTGTACAATCATATTGTAGGTTTACAATTGCCCAGGGAACCCATTGTGGTGGATATCACAGGCCTTTCCTCTCTTCAGCAAGTCTGCCTGGGTGGGTTTGTCTCTGTGAAGAGACCAATTGGTCTACTGCAGTCCCTGAAGAGAGCATACTTATTCCTTGGCCAAAATGATTCACCAGAGCCCCATCATGATGAAATTGAAAGCTCCACATCAAGTCTTTTCTCATTTTTGAGTACTGTTCCCCATATTTTCCATTTGACTTTCTCCATAATGGGTGCAGACATTGTCTCACCTCAACCTCAACATCTTGCATTGAGTAATTTAAGCCAATTAAATTTACTTATGAACACTAGTGATATGGAAGCACTTTACTCCCTATGTCAGAACTTAAAACTCCCCTCCTTGTTCTCTCTGGCCCTCTCAATTTCTAGCAATTCAGAAACTCACCAGCCATGGCAATGGGCAAACAAGTCAACTGATACCTTGAAAATTTTGAAGAAGCTAAGCATCTGCTATGAAGGACCATTGGACCCCATCCACAATGAGGATTTGAGAAACTTGCTTGAATGCACACCTGCACTGGAAACTCTGGAAATATATACAGGATGCATATCAGAAGAATTTATATCACTCCTTACCATCAAGCCTTTGGAAAACACTACAAACTTGTGCCCTGAGCTCACATACCTTGATCTTGACCAAGGTAGCAAAAAGACCCACAGCATCTCGACTCAAGCCATAATTGACTTGATTTCTTCACGATTTTGTTGGCAACAAAAGAATAAAGAAAGTGCCAGATCATCAGGTCTGACTGAAGTCCATCTCAACCTCAATATAATCAGTGCAATCAAAGATTCAGATTTTTATACCATTGAACCATTATGTACTTTTATGAAGCAAGGTTTGAAACTTATTTCAAACTCAAACATTGCATACTAGTGGAAATCAAACAAATTCTAATCTGTATCCTTCCTTCTATTTCTTCATTATGTTTGACCTGTTGCAATCATACTGTACTATATCGACCTACTGTTCACGGGGTTGTGACCGTGACAAGAAAGTTTTACTTGTTCACAGAGTTCATAGCCATAAATGGGCAAGATTTGGGTTAAAAATTCCCATATATGGACGCTAGGGTTTGGCTAGTACACACTAAAGGCTCCGGGAGAGGCCTGTGACCTGTGACCTGTCTCAATTAGTTCAAGTTCACAGCCATTGTGACACATGACGTGAACAGTTGGTCGAAATAGTACAGTAGTCAGAAGTCCTACAATGCAATCGTAGTAAGTGACCATGATGTGTTTCTTCAAGTGTGATAGTGCATTGGAAGCCTA